AAGTTACTAGACTGTGGTGATAAATAACATACGTCACATTGTTTACACGTTGTCAGTTACTAGACTGTGGTGATAAATAACATACGTCACATTGTTAACACGTTGTCAGTTACTAGACTGTGGTGATAAACAACATATGTCACATTGTTAACACGTTGTCAGTTACAAGACTGTGGTGATAAAAAACATACGTCACATTGTTAACACGTTGTCAGTTACTAGACTGTGGTGATAAACAACATACGTTCACATTGTTAACATATTGTCAGTTACTAGACTGTGGTGATAAATAACATACGTCACATTGTTAACATATTGTCAGTTACTAAATTGTGGTGATAAATACCACACGTCACATTGTTAACACATTGTTAGTTACTAGACTGTGGTGATAAATAACATACGTCACATTGTTAACATATTGCCAGTTACTAGACTGTGGTGATAAATAACATACGTCACATTGTTAACACGTTGTCAGTTACTAGACTGTGGTGATAAATAACATACGTCACATTGTTAACACGTTATCAGTTACTAGACTGGTGGTAAATAACATACGTCACATTGTTAACACATTGTCAGTTACTAGACTGTGGTGATAAATAACATACGTCACATTGTTAACACATTGTCAGTTACTAGACTGTGGTGATAAACAACATACGTCACATTGTTAACATATTGTCAGTTACTAGACTGTGGTGATAAATAACATACGTCACATTGTTAACACATTGTTAGTTACTAGACTGTGGTGATAAATAACATACGTCACATTGTTAACATATTGCCAGTTACTAGACTGTGGTGATAAATAACATACGTCACATTGTTGACACGTTATCAGTTACTAGACTGGTGGTAAATAACATACGTCACATTGTTAACACGTTGTCAGTTACTAGACTGTGGTGATAAATAACATACGTCACATTGTTAACACATTGTCAGTTACTAGACTGTGGTGATAAACAACATACGTCACATTGTTAACACACTAGACTGTGGTGGTAAATAACATACGTCACATTGTTAACACGTTGTCAATTACTAGACTATGGTGATAAACAACATACGTCACATTGTTAACACATTGTCAGTTACTAGATTGTGGTGATAAATAACACACGTCACATTGTTTACACGTTGTCAATTACTAGACTGTGGTGATAAACAACATACGCCACATTGTTAACATATTGTCAGTTACTAGACTGTGGTGGTAAATATCATACGTCACATTGTTAACACATTGTCAGTTACTAGACTGTGGTGATAAATAACACACGTCACATTGTTAACACGTTGTCAGTTACTAGACTGTGGTGATAAATAACATACGTCACATTGTTAACACGTTGTCAGTTACTAGACTGTGGTGATAAAT